TTGCTTTGGATGTCTTTTATTTCTTTTGTTGCCTAATTGTTGTGACTAGGACTTCCAGTACTATGTTGAATAAAAGTGGCGAGAGTGGGCATCCTTGTCTTGTTCCTGTTCTTACAGGAAAAGCTTTTAGCTTTTTACTGTTGAGGATGATATTCACTGTAGGATTGTCATACATACAGCCTTTATTATGTTGAGGTACATTCCCTTTATACCCACTTTGTTTTGAGAGTTTTTCAACATCACAAATGGATATTGAATTTTGTCAAATGCTTTTTCTGCATCTATTGAAGTGATCATATGGTTTTTGTCTTTCATTTTGTTAATGTGCTTTATCACATTGATTGGCAGATGTCGAACATCCTTGTATCCCTGGAGTAAATCCCACTTGGTCATGGTGTATGACCCCTTTAATATATTGTTGGGTTCAGTTTGCCGATATTTTGTTGAGGATTTTTGCATCTATGTTACTGGCCTGTAATTGGTATCAGGGCTGGTTTGGGTGTCAGGGGTGACGCTGGCTTTATAAAATATGTTTGAAAACTTCCCCTCCCTTCAATTTTTGGGAAGAGTTTGAGAAAGGCAGGTATTAAATCTTCTTTGAGTGTTGGTAGAATTCACCAGTGAAGCTGCCTTGTTCTGGCCTTTTGTTTGTTGGGAGGTTTCTGATTGCTGTTAAAATCGCCTTGCTCTAGTAATCATTCTGTTCAGATTTTCTCTTTCTTCAGTATTCAATCTTGGAAATTTATATGTTTCTAGGAATATCCATTTTTTTTTCTAGGATAGGAAACCTGTTTTTTTTTCCGGGTTGTTCAGGGTGCTGGCATATCGTTGTTCATAGAAGACCCTGATGGGGCGCCTGGGTGGCTCAGATGGTTAAGCGTCTGCCTTCGGCTTAGGTCATGATCCCAGGGTCCTGGGATCGAGTCCCACATCGGGCTCCCGGCTCAGCGGGGAGCCTGCTTCTCCCTCTGACCCTCTCCCCTCTCATGCTGTTTCTCTCTTGCTCGCTCTCTAAAAAATAAATAAAATCTTAAAAAAAAAAAAGACCCTGATGATCCTTCGTGTTTCTGTGGTATGAGCCCCACATCTCCCCTCTCATTTCTGATTTTATTTATTTGAGTCCTCTCTCTTTTTTTCTTGGTTAGTCTGGCTAAGGCTTTGTCAATTTGGTTTACTTTTTTAAAGAACCGGCTCTTAGTCTCATTGATCTTGTATATTGTCTTTTTAGTCCCCATTTCACTTATTTCTGTTCCAATCTAATATTTTCTTCCATCTACTAATTTTGAGGTTTGTTTCTTTTTTTCCCCGTAGTTCCTTTAGGTGTAAAGTTATATTGTTTGTTTGAGATTTTTCCTGTTTCTTGAGATCAGCCTGCATCGCTACAGACTTCCCTCTTAGAACCACCTCTACTGCGCCCCACCCAGATTTCGATGTGTTGTATTTTTGTTTTCATTTATCTCCAGGTATTGTTTTGTATTTCTTCTTTGATTTCTTTTTCGACCCATTGGTTTTTCCGTAGCATGTTTTTTAATCTTCCTATTTTGGTGGTTTTTCTCATTTTCTTCTTGTAATTAATTTGTGGTTTCATACCATTGTGGTTGGAAAAGATGCTTGATAAAATGTTGGTTTTCTCGAATTTGTAGAGACTTCTTTTGTGCCCAGCAGGTGATCTATCCTGGAGAATGTTCCATGTGTCCTTGAGAAGAATGTGTTTTCTGCCGCTTTTGGGTGGAATGTTCTATAAATATCTGTTGAGTCCATCTGGTCTAATGTGTCATTTAAGGCCGATGTTTCCTTATTCTTTGTTGTTGTCTGGATGATCTATCCATTGATGAAAGTGGGGTATTAAAGTCTTCTACTAGTATTGCACTGCTGTCAGTTTCTCCCTTTAGGTGTGTTAAGATATGTTTTATATACTTTCGTGCTCCCTGTTGGATGCACATGTATTAGTAAAAGTTATATCTTCTGGATTAATCTCTTTATCACTGTGTAGTGCTCCTGTTTGCCTTCTATTACAGTCTTTGTCTGCAAGTCTATTTTGTACTTGTAAGTATCGCTACACCAGCTTTCTTTTCATTTCCATTCACTTTCAGCCTGTGGGTGTCCTTACTTCGACATTAGTTTTTCGTAGGCGGTGTATAGATGGGTCTTGCTGTTTATCCATGTAGCCACTCTGTGGCTTTTGATTGGAGCATTTAGTCCATTTCCATATAAAGTAATTGTCGATGAGGGTATACTTGTTGCCATTTTGTTAATTGCGTTCTGGCTGTTTTTGTAGCTGCTCTCTGTTCCTTTCTTCTCTTGCTCTCTTCCCTGTGGTTTGATGGCTTTCTCCTGTTAGGTTTAGATCCCTTTCTCATTTTCTTTTGTGTATTTCCTTGTGGTTACCTTGAGGTTCACGTAAAATCTCCTATGACAACAGCGGTCTGTTTTAAGTTGATAGCAATGTAATTTTAAATACGTTCTAAAGCTTTACTTTTTTACTTCTCACCCCTGATGTTTTATATTTTTGATGACACATTGTGCATTTTTTAATTTTGTGCTTCCCTTAACTAATTATTCTGATTTTAGTTAATTTTACCAGTTATGTCTTTTCATCTTTACAGTTGCTTTGTAAGGATTGATTCACTATCTTTGCTATTATACATCTACTTTTTCTAGTGAGATTTTTACTTTTGTATGTTTTTGTACTAGTAATTAGTGCCATTTCTTTTAAGCTTAAAGGAGGCCCTTTCACATTTCTGGTAGGGCTGGTTTGGTGGTGATGAACTCCTTTAGCTTTTGCTTATCTGGAAAGCTCTTAATCTCTCCTTCAGTTCTGAATGATAACCTTGGTTGGAAGATTTTTCCTCTCAGCACTTTAAATGTGTCATGCTGCTCCTTTTTGGCCTGGAAAGTTTCTGCTGAGAAATCTGCTGATAGCTTTGTGGGGTTTCCCTTGTACATAACAAGTTTTTCTCTTGCTCCTTTTTGGATTCTCTCTTTATCCTTAACTTTTACCATCTTAATTACAACATGTCTTGGTGTGGATTTCTTTGGGTTCATCTTGCTTAGAACTCTGGGTGTTGTGGACCCAGGTGTCTGATTCCTTCCCCAGATTAGGGATGTTTTCAGTCATTATTTCTTCTTTTCTGGCCCTTTCTCTCTCTCTTCTCCTTCTGGGATCCCTATAACACAAATGTCATTTCACTCGATGTTGTTCCAAAAGTCTCTTCAGATGTCTTCACTTTTCTTAATTCTTTTTTCATTTTGCTGCACTGTGTGGGTGTTTTTCATTGCTTTATTTTCCAGCACACTGATTTGTTCTACTTCATCCAGTCTGCCATTGGACCCCTCTAGTGTATTTTTCAGTTCAGTTATAACTTCCGTTTGGTATTTTCCTATATTTTCTCTCTCTTTGTTGATGTTCATACTGTGTTCATCCATTCTTCTCCCGAATTTGGGGAGCATCTTTATGACCATCACTTTGAACTCTTTATCAGGTAGTTTGCTTATCTCTGTTTCATTTAATTCTTTTTTTTAAGGTTTTGTCTTGTTTTTTAATTTGGAACATATTCCTCTGTCTCTTCATTTTGCCCTACTCTGTGTTTGTTTCTATGTGTTCGGTGAGTCACCAACCTCTCCCAGTCTTAAATGGGTGGCTTTATACAGGGGATGACCTGTGGGGCCCAGAAGTGCAGTCTCTTTGGTCACCAGAGCCATATGCTCAAGGGGTGTCCCCCTTGTGGGCTGTGTGTGCCCCCCTGTTGTGATGGGGCTGTGGCTGTGGCACACTGGCTCCTGGCCTGGCTGGGGGCATGTCCACGGCTGCTGGGGTACACTGGTGGACAAGACTCTCAGTGGAATACACTCACTGGCACGATCAGGTTACAGGGAGAATCCAAAATGGTGCCCACCAGTACCAGTGTTAGGAAGGTAGACTGAGATGGTCCTACCAGTGGCTCCAACCTCAGTCCATGGGGAGAGCCCCTGATGTTTTCTGCCACTCTGACAGACCCTTTAAGGTTGTTAGTAAATGGATCTTCTTTATCAGAGATGTATGCTTTTTTTCACATTGGTGTTTTTGACTGGTTTCCAGTTCGAGTGAGTGTGTGCAAGCCCCTTAAGAGTGAGTTTTCTGTTCCCTTCAGTTTTCTAGTTTTCCTGAATGTAATCCCCATTGATTTTCAAAACCTGGTGTTTTGGGGGCTCATCTCTCCTGGGCAAGATCTAAGGGTTGGGGTGCCTGAGGTGGAGCTCGAATTCCTCATTCCTCAGGGGAGTTCTGTACCTTTGTTATCCTTCCCGATTGTGATGTGCCATGGCGGGGCTTTCTCCCTGGGCAGTCTGTGTCTCTGCCTCTCATCTCGTCTCAATGGTGTCCTTTTATCATTTGTTGTGGAGGCTCTGTTCGTTCAGGTCCCTTTCAGGGGGAGTTATTCCATGAGTAGTTGTAGATTGTCGTGTCTGTGGGAGGAGGTGAGTTCAGGATCCACCATCTTGAACCCAACTCCCTACTGTTTCTTGGTTTATCAAATTTTGAACATTATGTGTTGCATCCCTGCTGTAAAAGGTTAGGATTTGACTCACACTACCCACCTCCCTTCCCTGATCGTTGTTTTGTTGCATTTGTAACTCCCGATAACGTACATAGGCTGCCACCTCCTCTTGCATTGACTTTGGCCCTGACTTTCCCTTGTGTCACAGGGGCTTGCCAGAGCCTGGTGTGTCAACTCCTGAGAGCTGACTGTGTGCGTTACCATTTTCCCAGCTCCTTGTGTCATGTGGGAAGCTTGTGATGGGCCACATTAGAAGTTTTTATACCACGGGGATCGGCCGACATGACAAACCGGCATTCCCTACCCGTTGTTAAACATTTATCATCGGCACACCACTGCCGGGCTCCTGAGGTTCGCTTCTGGCCCTGAGTCTGGTTCAGGCCGAGGCTAGATTAGCTTGGCCCCCTGAGGCTCAGCTGGAGGGCCCAGCCCAGCACCGACACCCTGCTGTCTGTGCCACAGCAAAGCTTCGAGGCGCACCAGGATGAGACCGTGAGCGTGACGCACATGGTGAAGGCCGGCAGCGGCGTCTGGATGGCCTTCTCGTCCGGCTCCTCCATCCGCCTCTTCCACACCGAGACGCTGGAGCACCTGCAGGAGATCAACATTGCCACCAGGACCACCTTCCTCCTGCCAGGTGAGTCTGCTGCTGGGCATCGTGCCCTGCTGTCCTGGGCCTGTGCAGGGGAGGAGCTGACCTTCGTGGAGCACCTTCCACGGCCGGGCAGAGGTGCGTCCGGGCCAGCCCACGTTGTTAGCCCTCGTAGCAGTGTTTGGCCGGCTTTGAAAACTGGCCTCCAAGAGCGGAGGCAGCAGGGCCGGGATTCGAACTCAGGGCTGTCATTCCCAAACCTCTCTTGCTGTCATCACTCTTCCCTCTCACTTCTCGCGGGAAGTGAGGCTCCAGGCTCAACAGACTCTCCCAAGTCGGGCAGCTGCTAAACAGTCATACTGGGTGGGAACCCAGGCCCATCCACACCTGCCACTCCTCAGGGTGACCAGAATCCCAATTCTGCCTCACGTCACGTACAGAATGTGAGGCGAGGGGAAAGAGAGAAGGCTGACCAGAGGTCTCTTTCTTTAGAGGTTTTTCTAAGAAAGGCAACTGTCTTGGTTTGCTGGTTGGGGTTTGGAGGCAGGGGGAGAGCGAAGGGCTAGGACATCATCCCCTTGGGGCCCTGCTTCCTCCTGCTGAGCTGTTGGTGATACTCAGCAGAGAGGAGGAAGGTTGGAGCTCCCCTAACACTCTGCTTCTCCCCGCATCTGCCCGAGGCCTCCGTGGCAACCCCCTTCCCATCTGCCGCCTGAGATGCTGCCCAGACCCTGCAGGCTGTGCTGGAGGGAGCCAGGGCAGACGCCTTCTCAGGGCCCATTCCCACCCCCAGCTGGCTTTAGAGCTTGGCCCAGCTTCCACCAGACAAACAGACTGTCTGAGAGGATGCGGAGGCTCCATCCTGTCCAAGCTGGGCCGGGTTCAGCAGCTGGGAGAGCCGAGGGGCCCTAGGTCCAGGGACACGGGGCCGGCCTGGCAGGTGGGGAGCTAATCGTTACAAGGACTCAGCAGATGGGCCATGTGGAGGCCAGAGTGGCCACGTGCTGAGCTGGGGGACTGATCTCCCTGTCCTATGAGGCCGGGCCAAGGGCAGGCACATTAGCCAGAACCTAAGGGGCTGTGGCGGCCTCTGTCTTACCCCAGAGGCCTGGTCCCTAACCCCAGCTAGGGGACCCAGAGATCACCCTGGCCCCTGCTTCTTCCCGCCAGTCACAACAGCGGTCCCCGGGTCTGGACTGGTGGTGATAGGGGGCGGTGGTCACTAAGCCCAAGATCAGCGGTGGCAGGGACAGTGTGTAACAGCCGCCTGCCACGCACCCTGCCCCCAGCCCTGCACTGAGCCGGGTTCCGAGGGCTTTTAGATACAGGGCCTCACTTCACAGTAACCCATGGAGTGGGGGTTGTCCCCATCGTACACGTGCGGAAGCTGAGGTTTGCTCAGCAGGAAAACGTGGCTTGTCTGTGGTCCTGCAGTGGGCCTGAGGCAGGGCCGGGAGTCCCCTGAGAGTCCCACTATGGGCAACAGGGGAGAGATGGTTTCAGAGGTGGCCCAAGTCCTGGCTCGGCCACCGTGGGGCTTGGGCAGCTCTCGCTGCCTCCTGGGGCCTGTGGTCCCTCTGTGGGAGCAGAGGTGGGTCCTGGCTCAGAGAAATGCCTCTAGGCATGGGAAGGTGCCTTGCCCAGGCTTGGAGCGTGGGACGTGCATGAGGAGAATAAATGCGCTTTCTTTAAACATTTTTTTTTTTTAAAGATTTTATTTATTTATTTGACAGAGAGAGAGATAGCTAGAGAGGGAACACAAGCAGGGGGAGTGGGAGAGGGAGAAGCAGGCTTCCCGCCGAGCAGGGAGCCCGATGCGGGGCTCCATCCCAGGACCTGGGATCATGACCTGAGCCGAAGGCAGACGCTGAACGACTGAGCCACCCAGGCGCCCCTAAATGCGCTTTCTGGGATGTGCTGTGTGGGCCTGGGTTATGGCTCTTGTCCTTCTCTTTTCTTCCTCCCTCCCTCCCTCCCTTCTTCCTTCCTCCCTTCCTTCCTTCCTCCCTTCCTTCC